AGATAGATAGATAGATAGATAGATAGATAGATAGATAGATAGATAGATTTTACATCACTGTTTTGTTTTTTGTAGCAAAATAAAAAGAAGAGATGCTAGAAAAGGTAAGAGCTAGAAAAATTCTTGGTCCAAATCTCATCTCATGAGATGCCTAAGGGCTTTAGGTACTAAACACTAAAGGCCCTCTTAAGTCCAGTTAGACTCCTGATATTTACATAAATATTACCCTTCAGTTTTCCTGACAATAACAGAGAAGTGGTTTGCTAATGCTGCCTTTTGGGATGTTTTCTGACTTCCCATTCAAGCCCACAGCTCCAATATTTCCTAATGGTCTTCCATCCAAGTATTAATCAGGCCCAACACTATTTACAGGCAAAGCCAGTCAAGTGCTTAAGTCATCGGTTATTTTTTCTGCCACCTTCACTATCTACAATATGGAGAAATTAATTATATCAGACTTGTTGTATGAGAATTGTTCACAAAAGCACTGAACAGTTAAAAATTAGATTTTAAAAATATTTTAATTCTCCTTTATTATGCTGCCATGCATCTCTATTCTAGTCAGACTATGTTGTTCTCACCAATATTGTAGGTTGCCTTTACAAATAGGAGTATGCTTCCACTTTGTTAACAAGGGGCTCACTATGAGATGGGTAGGAATATGTGGCACTGTGGGCTGGGAATAGCAGTGTGGCTATCTGGACAACCTAACATGGCTGGAAAGAGATAGCTTATTTGTATTAAGCTGTCTGAGCTAGCATGAAGAGGTTGCAGAGCAAGAAAGGAACAAGGCCTGAATCCAGAAGGCACATAACCAGAACAGTATGGAGCAGCAGCAGCAGGTTGTCACAAATGAGTCAAAAACATTACACTTGTTCATTTATTTATTGAGGAAAATGATTCAAAGCTACATGTTTGTGTGTGGCAAAAGTATGTGAATCTCTAGGATTATCACTTCATTTGAAGGGGAAATTAAGAGTCAGGTATTTCAATCAATGGGATAATAATCAAGTTTGAGTGTGGGAGATCCTACTTTATTTAAAGAACAGAATTCTGGGTATTCATTATCAAAGTCTGATCTTCACCACACAGGTATGTGGAAGTATGTCATGGCTCAAACAAAGGAGATTTCTGAGGGCAGTTGTTGATGTTCACCAACCTGGAAAAGGTTGCAAACTATTTCCAAAGAGTTGGGGCTCCGCCAGTCCACTGTCAGGCAGATTGCATACAAATGGAGGCAATTCAACACCACTGTTACCCTGCCCAGAAGTAGTCAACTAACCAAGATCACACCGAAAGCAAGGTATGCAATACTCTGGGAGGTCTCAAAGAACCCCAGGGAAATATCCAAGGAACTAAAGTCCTCTCTTGTATTGGTGAACGACACTGTTAATGGGACCATCAGGAGAACACTGAACAACAATGGTGTGCATGGCAAGGTTGCAAGGAGAAAGCCCTCATCTCTAAAAAGAGCATTGCTGCCCATCCACGGTTTCTGAAAGACCACATGGGTAAGCCAGAAGGCTATTGGAAGAATGTTCTGTGGGTGAATGAGACCAAAATAGAACTTTTTGGCCTGAATGAAAAGTATTATGTTTGGAGAAAGGCAAACACTGCATTCCAGCATAAGAACCTTATCCCATCTGTGAAATGTGGTGGCAGTATTATGGTTTGGGCCTGCTTTGCTGCTTCTGGACCAGGACACCTTGCCATCATTGATGGAACTATGGATTCTGAATTGTACCAGTAAATTCTACAAATGTCAGGGTATCTTTCTGTGAACTAAAGCTCAAGGGAAAGTAGGTCATGCAGCAAGACAATGACCCAAATCACACATCATATGACCCAAAAATGGTTAAAGCAGAAGAAAGTTAATGTTTTGGAATGGCCAAGTCAAAGTCCCTGCCCCTCAAGTCCTGCTGTGTTGCCTAATTGTGGCAGTGGGGTGTTCCTGGGAGGGATAAGCGAAGAACGTTGGGAGTATATGTCAAGGGTATATATTCCCAGCACGGTCACCCAAGGTGTGAAGGTCATCCCAGCTGCCCAGATAAAGCAAGCAGGCACCTATATTGGGCAGCAGCAATATAGGAAGATGCCAGAGGCAGATGATCACTTTAGTGACAATGGCAAAACCATCAATTCATACTTTGAGGGAGAAGGCAATAGTAAATCACTCCTGTATTTTTACCAAGAAAACCACACGGATAGAAAATATAAAATGATAGCACTCAACATGCTATTGAGGAAGAGCGGAGGATCTTTAGGAGTACTAATGATGTTTATGGCATGACTAGATGAAAGCCGTTTGGATGTCTAGTTGCTGATGTTGCCATACAAGAAAAGAAAAGCTGAAGCTGCAAAGACAGAATTACAGTAGAAATGTGGAATGTAGGAAGCAGGAACACAGAAAAGCTGAACACAGTACATTTCTAGTATGAAATGAAACAACTACAAATTGACTTTTAAGCATCAGCTAATTGAGATGGACTGGGATGGGACACTTTCAATCAGAAGATCACACCATTTATTACTCAGGACATGTAAAACAAAAAAGAAAAAGTGTTGCTTTTATAGCTAGGAAGGGTATAGCAAGAACATACTTGGCTACAATGCAATCAATGACCAAATAATATCGATTAGACTTTGTGGACAACCTTTTAATATGATGATCATTCAAGTTTATGCTCCAACCACTGATGCAAAGAAGAGAAAGTTAATGACTTCTATAATCAAGTTCAATTTGAAATCGACAGAACATGCAAGCAAGATGTGCTGCTTGTGATTGGAGACTGGAATGCTAAAGTTGGAAACATGAAAGAGGAAAATGTAGTTGGATTATATGGCTTAGGAAACCGAAATGAAGCAGGAGACCAACTTATCAATTTCTGCCACTCCAATGATTTATTCGTAAAAAACATTGTCTTCAAACAACCAAAACAAGGCCTCTATACATGGACATCACCAGATGGAGTATATAGAAATCAAATTGACTATATTATTGCTAAAAGGAGGTGGAGGAGCTCAATTACTGTAAGACTGTTTCCAAAAATTCCTGTGGTAGTCACCCCAAGAAGCTTTTTATAGAAGAGAAATTTCACTTACTGTAAGCACCATGGTTAACATATGCAATTTTGTTATTGTTTTCTGAAGGAGAACCTAACCTGAAGAAGAGAGAAGAATTAGAACTGGAAGGTTGTGCTTACCAATGGTTTACATATGCACAGTTGTTGGAAAGATTTAAATTAGATAAGAAAAGTTATGAATTTACCACTGAGAAAACTAAGTTTGTATGTGGTTTGTGTACTAATGACGAACATCTTATTGCTAAAATATATAAACTTTTGTTAAAGATGAATTTGGAAGATGAATATGTTAAAGATTGTATGGTTAAATGGGCAAAAAACTTTGGATAAAACATAATGTTATTTAAATTAGATAAGAAAAGTTATGAATTTACCACTGAGAAAACTAAGTTTGTATGTGGTTTGTGTACTAATGACGAACATCTTATTGCTAAAATATATAAACTTTTGTTAAAGATGAATTTGGAAGATGAATATGTTAAAGATTGTATGGTTAAATGGGCAAAAAACTTTGGATAAAACATAATGTTAGACCAATGGGAAAATATGTGGAATAAATTATTAAAGTTCACTCTTAATTATACGTTAAATGAAAATTTTTATAAAATGATGTACCGTTGGTGTTTGACACCAGATAAATTGTCAAAGATGTATAAAGGAAT